TGCACTGGTGAGAGAGTCACACAACTGTCAAATGTTGTACATGTACAAATACTGTCGAGATATAAGAAGATGCACTGGTGAGAGAGTCACACAACTGTCAAATGTTGTACATGTACAAATACTGTCGAGATATAAGAAGATGCACTGGTGAGAGAGTCACACAACTGTCAAATGTTGTACATGTACAGATACTGTCGAGATATAAGAAGATGCACTGGTAACAGAATCATGTCCCACACACCTGTCAAATATTCTCAACGTACAAATAGAGTGAAGATTGTCCAAGACTGCCACCCTTTGTCGTGTTAAAATGTGGCCGTCTTAGATCGGTGGACTTTTTCCACAGTGTCATCCTCATGTGTCCCATCACCTCCTTTCATGTTCTGTGGTCCTGTTCTGTCATCTGCTTTCGTCTCAACTGTCTTCCCCTATCTGTGGGTGGTTGGCGGGTGCTCTGATGTGGTCTGCTCCTTTCCTATCAAACATCTGTCGTCTCTATCTCCCCTCCTTCTTTTTTGTGTATGTTACTCTCTTGTAACACCTCTAATCTTCGGCACTTATATGACCTTATTGTGTTGCAAGTTCCGTAAAACTTTTACTAAAACATTCCCCCCCAACCATCATCTCCTGTGGGCACCTTTCTCCATTACTCCTGACTCTTTCCACCTAGTGGTTAGGCTACCGGACTCGTAATTGTGAGGTTGTGGCGTCAGTGGCCAAGTGGTTAGGCTACCGGACTTATAATCGTGAAGTTGTGGAGTCCGGGGTTCGAGCCGTGGGCCCGACGTTGTGTCCTTGGAAAAAGCACTTTACACGAATTTTCCCCACTTCACCCAGGTGGGAATGGGTACCCGGCCATAGACAGCGAAAGATCTTGTCAGTTTGTTAGTGTTTTAGCGCCTATAAATGGCCGCTTGCACTGTATGCTTCCCAGGAAGTTGAGGTTGTTTCAGAACGCTCTCAGGTCTGCTGGGGTAATAGTATAGATTGTGAAGCGCATAGAGCTTGCTGTTGAGCGGGGATTTGCGCTATACAAATGCTATCTATTATTATTTACCCTAGCTCTTTCTCCTGCTACTCCTGACTCTTTCTTATTGCTGTCTCTCAGCCTCACGCCAGAGCTCAGGGTAGATGAGATAGAAAAACCTAGCCTTCTGGGATATGGGCGAAAAATCTCTGAGGTCTCGTTTGCAAGCTGCACTTGTTAAAGATCCCTCGGTGGTCCTAAAATGGAGAAGAGTAGGCTTTGGCCACCACCCGGGCGAAATTCAAAGTATATTCTGACAACAACTAGAACTACTCAAGTCCGTATAAAAACATGTTACAGTGACTTGGAAGTCAGAACGTAGACTCATCTGTGGTCTCGGGGGAAGCAGTCGGGCTTTGTGAGTGTTCTTGTCTGGCTCAGATAGGTGGGAATGAAAATATGCTATTGTTATTGTTATGATTATAGTTATGATTATTGTTAATATTGTTGTTATGATTATGATTGTTATGATTATAGTTATCA